TTTTTTTTAATCAGTTTTTTTAAAATCGAACCTGATGCTGTGAAGATAAGGAGTTTTGTTTTCCATAGATACTATTTTAGTAAAATACAGATTATATAATACTAAAACGTCACAACAAAAAAGTTAATCGTTTTAAATTAAACATATTGTAATTTTAATCTACATAGTAAAATATAGATGCTTTAAAAATTATTGCACAAATCACTTAAAATATTAAAATAATTTCACAATATAAATGGCTGCTTGTACCCTGAAAAAGCGAAGAAATATCTTAACAAAACTATTTACTTTCTAGCTTATTTTCTAGAATAATAGTAAAATATACCTGCCTACCCAAACTTATTAAATATTAATAATCAAAAAATTCTACAAGCTTTGGTAATAACAAATAATTTAATTTTAAACAAGCTAGAACGGTTTTGTTCGGTTTTTCCAGGGTACAAACAGGCATGAATATTTCAAAAACTAATTTTTATTTTCTCAAATAACGTAATTTTGGCGATTGTCTGCATTCCACAGCATTCGTTTTTTGAATATCGTGTTGACGATGTCGGTTGACATAGTACAACGTTTGTAAATGCAGAGAGATGTCGATCGACGTTTCTACAATACCGTACAATATTGGTTTGCAATATTGAATATACGACATAAAAGGGGTCCATTTTTATATAGTACAATATTTCGCTACGATATTGTACACTGTTCAAAGCTACGTTTTTACGATATCGTTTTTGTGAATTGTGCTACTTGGGGAGCCAACGCTTTAGTTTATTCAATTTTTCTTACCGAGAAGAATTTGTTTCTAAAGAAGAAAATTTACTCTCGGTATTGCAGTAGATTTTAAAGTCATTCTGACTGGCAATCAAAGCAAACGATTTCTCATAATCTTCTTTCAAGAAATGTTTACTGCATATTCGTGCATATTTTATATTAACTGGGTCATTTGGTTTGCAACATAGAAGCCATTCTTACATAGTTGTTTATTTACTTTAGGGAACGCGTGAAAAATTATATTTTTCTCTTTTGTTTTCTATCAGAATGTTTGCAAATTAAAGTCTCGCAAACTGGAAGTTCGTTAATAATTATCTGAAACGTATTTTCTCTGAATAAACATACCTTTTTTTCGACGTATTCAAAGCTTTTTGACCCAAGAAGTTTAAGGGGCAGCCACAATCTGGGCATTGATGGTCACAAAAGTAAAGTCAGTCTCATCAGTATTGTATTTAATTCCCAATAGTGAAATTAATATTAAGGGGTTCACATTTTCATCCGCATTCCTGACTAAACTGTTATAGCCCCTATATTTTGAAGGTGAACAATCTAAATATGTAAAAAGAAACCTATGTTTATCCAGAAAAAGTAAGTTTTTACGTCTGATCGAGTTCTAAATATACGACTTCCTTAAAATTCAATTTTTCAAGAACTATTTAAGATTTTGCTGAAATTTGGTATTTTGCCATGTGAAATTAGATACAAAAAATGTTTTACCTTACAATTGAATTTTTTTCGCCTATTATTAAATAAATATTTACTAAAAGTTACTTTTGCGAGGAACTTTTTTTAGGGAAATGAAATTTACAATTCTGTGCTAAAATTTTCCGATTCGATTAAAAAGTTCTCGAGATATGGCAAAACACGAACAAAATTTTTTTTTAACGTTAAACGGTTCAAACTTTGGAAAGCTATCTCGATCAAATTATTGTGACCATATTTCCCAGATTGAGGCAACGCCCTATACTTTGCGGTACAGAAATCCGTATGCGTCGGGTATGTTTATTCTGAGAAAGTATGTTTTGGTGTGCCTGATTTCGCAACTTAAAATATCGTCTGCACTTTTTAATTAACATATTTGAGCTTACACTTTCGAACCATTAAGTCTTATAACGTGAGACCCGATCATTGGATCAAACGCTAATAAGATAAGCATCAAAACAAATATTGTTTTTCATGTTATTCGTGTTTCCCAGCACACCAGCTGCGTGAAATGCGCATGCGCTAACGACGAAATTTTAACGCTGCAGCCAGGTATAAATAGTGATAAAAAGCCAAATTTTGTAAACCTTTATCCTTAGTACTGGCCGTGAAACTGATTTTCAGCTACGGCTGGGGACTTCTGTTGACTTGATATATATTCCATTTTCTTAAGGATTCCTTTATGTTTATTAATTATTATGATATCTGTTTTGAGACCTTTCTCAGAATTAGGGGAAACTCAATGACTACATGAATTGTACACAAATTCATTATGATGAAAATTTTTGCTTTCACAGAAAAAAAAAACTTGGTTAAAAATGAAAAATTCTGTAAACAGTATTCACTAAACATAGAATTTTATTTATCAAACTTCTTAGAAATGCTTATTTTTTAAAAAAAAATTAGTTTCTTCCCTCTTTTTATTAGGATTAGAAAAAACTATTAACTATTCTACAGAATAACTAAGTAAAAACGAGATTTTTTTTAATGTCTGTTATTTTAAAAGTACACAACTGATGACAATCACATATCTTAATAATAAAGCTCACTCATTATACTTTTTTCATTTCATTATATTTTTTACAGTTGTAATTTTGGTGCTATTAAAAAAAATTCTACAGAATTGAAAAAAATTTAATCAAGTTTACGTTATTTAAATATAAGTGGTTTAAAAAATGGCATTACTCAGAGAAAAAAACCAGAAATATAGATAGAATTCACACATTTTTCAAAAATTGCAAAATATACTTCTTGTGATCATAAATATTTCAAATATTTTATTTAATTCTTACAAATTTATGATATAACTCGCACAGTTTAAATGCTTTTCTTCATTTACTTTGCTATTAATTGATTATAACTAATATGCTTTCACAGTTCAACAAAAGCAGCTACGACAATTTAATAACTGGTTATCCCAATTAATGTAATTGATATGCATTACCAATTAACTCACTGCCATTGCCAATTAAGAATAATATTTGTAAAACTGTTATGGTGATACATTTTATTAAAAAAAACTATCTTTTAAGTAGTTTCATAAAAATATACAATTACTACTAGAATTAATAACACAAAAAAGGGTGCACTTCTGAAAGTATACACACATATTTTCATCTCAAAGATATTTTTTGGAAATCACATATTTTTCAATTATTTTATTCTTCAAATACCTGTTGTGATGTAAATTATTGGGCAGTTAGTATTTTAGGTTTTGCTAAAATCACACTTCATTTTATTTAGAGATTAAATAAATTTAAATACACAAAATCAGGCCTTGAATGTTTACAGTTCCAATTATAGGGATAATATCACGAGTCACAAATTACATATCTACCTCATAATAAATAGTTAGAAAAGAGAATAGCATACTATGGCTCAACAGTTGTATTTATGTAAGAATTATTGAAACTTAAAAAAGTAATGGGAAGGTTTTGCGCATTTATGTAAGTTTCTGTGCATAAAATTTCAAGTAATTTTGTAGGCACTAGCGAAAAAATATCAAACTTATCATAAGAGAAAATAAGAGATTTTACGAAAACCCATAGTTGAAAAATGGTAAAATAGTGGAATGTCATTTTAACTTTGACTACAAATTCATACTTTGACAATATTTATACATTGTACATAGATGCATAAGATATAAAAATATTGTAAATATATGCATGGGACATGCCTAAAGATTTGTAGATAAATAAATTTTGCAGAAATTCATAAGTTAAAAATGATATCATAGTAGAATATCATTTTAACTTTGACTACAAATTCTTACTTTGAAAATATTCATACATTGTACATAGATGTATCAGATATAAAAATATTGTAGATACATGCATGGGACACACATTGGTAAAATGTATATGCTGGTACAAACAACAAGTACTTGTATATGCATGCCTACATGAACATAAACATTTTACATTCAAAAGTGTTTGTATAAAATACATACATTTATAGTGTACAAGTCTATATTGTTTGCACATGCTTTTCATTACATTGTAATGAAAATTTGTAATCATGATTACAAGTAATTTATTACTATTATTGAAAAATGAAATAAATTACATTTTTGCCCTACTTTGATGTATTCAAAAATTAAGATTATTTTTAAACGCAATTAACTGCAATTGTGACTACAAGTAATTGATTACATAGCGGTAATTATTTGTAATCAATTACAGTTTTAATTGACGTCCAACTCTGACATTAGCTCATAGAAGAGGCAATAAATACAATTAATATTTTTGTAAAAAATATACAAAAAAATGTTTTCAATATATATAAACATAATTTTAGCGCAACTAAAATTTTAAATACATTTTTCATCATTCTTTCCGTCTCTTTTTTGCATTCAGAATGAAATTTAGAATTTGATTTCAAGTAAGAATAAAGCAAAAAAAGAGCATGAAAATCTTACACGATGCTGCCTTTAGTGCTAATCAAATGTTTCACAGTAATTTGATTTACAGCATATTTTTGATTTAAAAAAACTATTAATTGCCTAGTCACACAACTATTACAGATATACTGAGAATAGAAAAGTAGATATTTTTGAATTAAAAACATGACTTTAAAACAATAAAAGTTTAAATTTGCTTGTCAACTAAGTTGAATTTTGTACTTAATGTGAAAAACTATGTAAATTATTCACAATAGGTTAATAAGTTTATGTAAGATATCAATGTAAAAAAAAAAAATTTAAAAACATTAGAGCAGTGTTTCCCAAGCTTATGACTTTTATGTACCCTTTCTAAATTTCTTGTTACTCTGTGTACCACTAATAAAAAAATTAATGTATTTTTTATTATAAAAAAATTGCACAAAAGTTAAAAATCGCATCTGGCTGTTGAAACCACTAATTATTAACTGTTAACTCAGCAAAAAATAGCCAATAGAAAAATACGTAATCGTAAATTTTCATGGTTAGCTTTGTTTTTAAATAAAATTGTTTGAAATTTTCGTTTGTTGCAAGATGTTTCGCGTAAGAACGCGTACTACCCGCTCAACTGTTCCCATATCCCTAGGGGAACGCGTACCACACCTTGGGAAACACTGCATTACAGCAATAAAAAATCAATTTTGTTTGCCAACAAAGTTGAATTTTGTACGCAACGTGAAAAACTACTTATATTACACACAATAATTTAAAAGTAAAATAAATTTCTTTAAAAAAAAAACAACAAACAATTGATTTTATTTGCAAAATTACATTAAAAAAACATTCTTTTTATGTATAGAACAAAAATATTTTGCCATTAAATTCTGAAAAACATCTATAAGCATATTTATAAAATTTCTTTAAAGAATTTATATTCTTTATTGTTTTTGCTTTCAAAATAAAATGCATGATTTAAATAAATAAATCAGTTGCAAATATTTTTGATAACGTTCCACTTACAAATATTTAATGTTAAATTGGTTAGTAAAATATAATATATACATTGATTGCATTTTATCAAAGAAATCATTTTCTATGATCAATTATTTTAATTCTTATGTTAAATCGTAAAATATGAATGTAAATTATGAGTTAATATGAAAATGAGTAAATATCAAGTAAAATATGAAAATGTTTTAATTCCATAACCCTGGTAAATGGTAAAATCATGCTCAATAGTTCGAAGGTTACACACTTCAAAAATAAGGAATCAGAAAGAGAAACTTTATATTTCCTTATTTATTTATATAAAAATTAACATTGAGACCTGCTAAACAAAATAACATAAAACAAAAATAATTAATCAAACCAACCTTTACAGGGTGCGTAGCCAAATCTTTGAATCAAAAATAAGCACTTCTTAAAAACTTTTCAAGCACTTTACAAAAATTTTCAAGCACTCAAAAAATTTATATTCAATCAATGATATTATTGAAAAACAAAAACTTTTTATAAACAGTTTTAACGTTAAAAAAAACCCAAAAAGAAACGGGCGTAAATCGAAACAATCAGTACTTTCCCACATCACCGAGTGAATTCAACTTGACCCTGAACTCAGAACAAAAGTACCCTTACCCCCTACGTCAAAAAAAGTATTAGAAGTAAATTAAATAAACAAGAACAAAATTAAAATAAATTAAAAAGAAAAACATTTCATAAGGATCTGACATTCTCTATCCGAATTGGAGCACTCGGGTTTCGGTTTCAAGTATGCGCGCACGTGCAAGTCATAACGTGGGTACGACATGAAGTCCGCGTGAATGATTACGTAGCAAACTCCCCATTTTTCGTGAAATGCATGCGATCCACCAGATATCACTGAAGGGAAGAAAAAAATTATTCGGAAAAAAAAGCACTTTTTAAAAGAGCCAGCTGAAAAAAGCACCTTTAAAAGCTTTTAAAAACGAAATCCCCCAAAAAGCACCTTTAAATACTTTTTACAAACGCTACGCACCCTGCTTTATTACCAATATTAACAGGGGGGAGGCGAATTTTTTTTTAACCCTTGCAGAACAATAAAAGAACTTGATCAGAAAACCAATCTCGAACGTTAACATTTATAAATCTAATATGAAATATAAAAAATGACAAAGGTGGTGGCATTCTTGCTTCTTGAGTGGCTAAATTTCTAATTGGCAATCCTTACTTGTAAATAGGAGGGGTGTTGTATCCTACTTATTACCAAAAGTTATGATGATCCTTAATTTGAATCAGAAACAATATATTTTAATAGTGAAACATGCAGGCATTAGGCATAACAAGAAAACTATGGTTTGCTTTCATACAAAAAGTAGTTAACTTGTTATATAACCTTGAAGATTGAGATTTCTAACTAAAATTAAAATACTCATGAACAGGTTTATTTATCAGGTTATACTATCCTAATGAACATTATACTATTCTTATAAACAGGTTATACTAGCATTTAAACATTATGCGAATAAATTTACAAAAATAAAGTTAGTCAATAGTATGAACAGAACAGTGAGCATACAATTCTTTTATAGAGATAAACTCTAAGAGTAAACAACAAGAGATTCAGGTTTCTCTCAAGTATGAACACGAAAATGCTCCCTCAGAAGACTTCTATGTGAAAATCTCTTGCTACATATACAAGAAAAAGGTTTGTCACCAGTGTGAACACAAATGTGTTCAGTCAACTAACGTCTTTGTATAAAACACTCGTTACATATACTATAAGAAAATCATTTCTCCCCCGTATGAACACGACTGTGTTTGTTCGGATCACTCCTGCTTGAAAAACTCTTATTACATATACAAGAAAAAGGTGCGTCACCAGTGTGAACACGACTGTGTTCAGTCAATTGACGTCTTTGTATAAAACTCGAGTTACATATATAGGAAAATCATTTCTCCCCAGTATGAATATGACTGTGCTTGGTTAGATCATTTCTGTTCGAAAAACTTTTGTTACATATACAACAGGAAAAAGGTTTCTCACCAGTGTGAATACGATTGTGTACAGTCAGATTACTTCTGTGTGAAAAACTTTTAGTACATATACTACAAGAAAATGGTTTCTCACCAGTATGAACACGACTGTGTTTGGTCAGACCTCTCTTGTTTGAAAAACTCTTATTACATATACTACAGGAAAAAGGTTTCTCACCAGTGTGAACGATATTGTGTCTAATCAGACTACTGCTTATTGAAAAACTCTTGTTACATATACTACAAGAAAAAGGTTTCTCACCAGTGTGAATACGATTGTGTACAGTCAGATCACTCCTGTTTAAAAAACTCTTAGTACATATACTACAAGAAAAAGGTTTCTCACCAGTGTGAATACGATTGTGTACAATCATATAACTTCTACTTGAAAAACTCTTATTACATATACTACAGAAAAAAGGTTTCTCACCAGAGTGAATGCTATTGTGTTCAGTCAGACTACTTCTTTTTGAAAAACTCTTATTACATATACTACAGGAAAAAGGTTTCTCACCAGTGTGAACGATATTGTGTGCAGTCAGGTGACATCTTAGTGAAAAACTCTTATTACATATACTACAGGAAAAAGGTTTCTCACCAGAGTGAATGCTATTGTGTCTAATCAGACTACTTCTGTTTGTAAAACTCTTATTACATATACTACAGGAAAAAGGTTTCTCACCAGTGTGACCGATATTGTGTGCAGTCAGACTACTTTTTTGCGCAAAACTCTTGTTACATAAACTACAAGAATAAGGCTTCTCACCAGTGTGAACACTGTGTATTGTCAGTTCACTTCTTTGTGCAAAACTCTTGTTACATAAACTACAAGAAAAAGGTTTCTCACCAGTGTGAACACGATTGTGTCTATTCAGATCACTTCTTTGTAAAAAACTCTTATTACATATACTACAAGAAAAAGGTTTCTCACCAGTGTGAACACGATTGTGTATTGTCAGTTCACTTCTTTGTGCAAAACTCTTGTTACATAAACTACAAGAATTCTCACCAGTGTGAACACGATTGTGTATTGTCAGTTCACTTCTTAGTGCAAAACTCTTGTTACATAAACTACAAGAATAAGGCTTCTCACCAGTGTGAACATGTTTGTGTATAGTCAGTTTACTTCTTCGTGAGAAACTCTTATTACATATATTACAAGAAAAAGGTTTCTCACCAGTATGAACATTACTGTGGCTAGTCAGATTACTTCTGCTTGAAAAACTCTTATTGCATATATTACAGGAAAAAGGCTTTTCACCCATTTGAACACGATAGTGTTTAGTCCTGTCACTTCTACGAGAAAAACTGTTATTGCATATACTACAAGAAAGAGGCTTCACACCAGTATGAACATGACTGTATTCAGTCACATTACTTCTTTGTGAAAAACTCTTATTACGTATATTACAAGAGTGAAGTTATTAACCAGTATAAGTTTGACTGTTACATTACTTTTCTATAAAAACACATATTTTATAAGTAAAACACTTTTCACATAAACATGATGAAGAGTTTTACAGAGAATGTTTGCAAATTTAGACTTTAACACAAACTGTCGAAATAAATTTTGCACCAAAGTTTTAAATGCATTGTCATGAGTACAAGGAAACTCTAAATAATATTTGCAATGATAATGTTCCTCTTTATAGATTAATAATGAAGATTCTCTAATGAATGACGATAATTGTGCCATACGAACAATATCTGTAACAGGTAAACAGTTTATAGAAATTAAGCTTTACATTATTTAAAAACACTTTTTACCATTTATTGCTATGAAATATTTTCCATCATACATTGCCTATGTCTTTTCACCAAACATTGTGCTAGTATCTCAGTAGAATATCCATTTAAGATGATAAATGATATACAAATTTAGTACACATTTTTACATATTCAGATAACGGATTTCCTAACTCATCTACATCAATGCTTCGATTGGTTAGTTTGAATGATTGACTGAATGAGTGTTGTATAATGAGACGAGATCTTTTTTTCAGCGTATAGCTTACTATATTCATTAATAAGGCTTTCCTTGAGGCTAAATAGATAGCAGATTCCATACAATGAATGGCTGTCTTTATGCGTGATTGCAGCACTCAAAGACGCCATCTGGGGAGAAGACCGGAACCATGCCTTTTGCCCTTCACTCTCTCTTCAGTTGTACAGTCACTCGAAAAAACACCTGAACCCCAAACCTCGCACAAGTTTCTAGAGCAGGGATCGCCAAACTTTTTTGATCATCGACCCCTATATAATTTTTCGAAATCTCCATCGACCCCACAAAAGTAATTTTCTGTTAATTAAAATAAAACTCTATTAGATACTGTGTTTGTACATTTATTTTATGATTTTAAACACTTATTAAAGTAATAGTACATTGTGTAACAATAGTTTTATGAAAAATAAATTAATATTGAAATTTAAATACCTTATTATTAAATAATAAGTAATTATGCATAAGTAGATATAATAAGTAAAGTAACTAAGGTGCTTCTTGATCAATGAGATGGGTGTGCCTGGTGTTTTTTTTTTAGGTTCACTATATTGGGTTCAAAATTGGTCAATTTTAATTTTCGTCAAA